CCACAGCGACCCTGTTTAGGGTTTCCAAGGAGCAGCTGGTGAGCTTGAACCAATCGACCTTGCAGTTCAAACGACTTTGCAGTCTGACACATTAGCCCACAGCGCCACACTAGGACTCCAGGAAACTAATGTAGTTCCTCACAAATACGTATTGCCGATCTATTAAGTGGAGTCCTGGTGTGGTGCTGCAGGTTAATGTGCTGAACAGCGAGGTCGGTGGTTCAAGCTCCCCAGCTGCTCATATACAGGGTCGCTATGGGTCGGAACTGACTCCACGGTACTTAACAACAACGTACTAGATATTTAACTCCCCGCAGAGTGCTGGCTTCTTGTTGTTGTTGTTGTTAAGTGCCGTTGAGTCGATTCCGACCCATAGCGACCCTGTACAGAGTTTCCGAGGCTGTAAATCTTTACAGGAGCAGAACGCCTCATCTTTCTCCCGCAGAGCGGCTGGTAGTTTCAAACTGCTGGCCTTAAGGTTCACAGCCCGATTCGCAACCACTACACTACCAGAGCTCCTTGAGTGCTGGGTATTCAGTGGTAATACGGCTGCTCTACCAACACTGCACAAAATGAAGCAGGATTTGAAAACCTGAAGGTGTAGCGAAGAGTCCTACCTTCCCAGCAACCCTCTGGACTGCCTGGAATACTCACTCCCCTTCTCCCTGGTGATGCAGTGGGTTAAGCACTGGGCTGCGAACCAAAAGGTTAACATTTCATACCCACCAGCCATGCCTCGGTAGAAAGATGAGGCAGTCTACTCCCACCGAGAAGCTGGACAGTCTTGGAAACCCCGCAGGATACTTCTACTCGGTCCTATGGGGTCGCTGTGAGTCAGAATTGACGTGACAGTAGTGGGTATATGTCCTACTTAACATACGGGGCACTGATGAAGTCCCACCTCCTGCCAAGACTCTCAGATTAGGCCCGTGTCCCCACTATGGGCTTCTCACAGCACCCTTGGTGGAGGATGCTGTCAGCCGATCCCGTCTCACTGCGACCCTACAGGGCAGAGCTGCCACCTAGGATCCTCTAGGCTGTCGTCTTCACAGGAGGAGACCACCAAATCTGGTCTTCCATGGAACCCCTGGTGGATTTGAACTGCTGCCTTTCTGTCAGGCACTGGTTCACTGTGGATGGTCATCGCTTTCTAAGGCTTTGTCTCTGCCTGCTATTCTGGAAGACTCCTGTGGGTCCATCCACCGGACTGAGGCACACACCACAGATGTTTCTGATGTGAACGTGATATGGGGCCATCCTCTCTTATGAAAAATAGCCAATTGAAGCTTCTTCTGGGATAAACCATTTCTGGAGGGTGGGCTATAATTTTTTTTCTTAACTCTCAGAAACAGTTAGCACATACAAATAGATTTTTCTTTCATTTAAAAATGGCTCACGAGAAGCAGCATCCCTGCATGGGAACAACCCAACAAGAGAGTTATTTAATGCAGAGCAGTTTGCATTAGACGAGTTATAACATAGCCTCTAGAGATTCAACTATTATCTCAGCCTTTTTAATGACTCCAAATTTTAAATGGCTTTTATGAGCTTCAAAACCCTTTTCATCAAAAGTAAATCTTTTCCTAAGCGTCTCCTCCAGAGGGGAAGTGTGGGGATGAAGATCTGACTTCACCTTAGCGGGGTCATGTCTTCTGAGTGTTTCTAAGAGTTTGGGAATGCGTATTCTTGTCTCTTCTTCGCAGAAGAAAATCCACGATGAATTTCTGCCGTATGTTACAGAAAAGCTGACAAAAAGAAATAGGTTAGATTAATCACTTCCATGACAGAAGCTAAGAATGTAAAATGGTGTAAAACAGGCAATCGGGAAATGGGTGAAAGGCATTCAAAATGGCAAGAAATCTGGATTTTTGTTTCCTTTCATGGATAGCATTTCAGCAGATGGGGAAGGTAACACACTACAGCTTTTAACAGCTGGACTGGTCCAAGTTAATTCTCTCTGTAACAATGTCAGTTCAAAACGCAGCTGTTTTCCAATTGGATCACTGTGCTTGCCAATCAAGAAAGAAACACAGTTCAAAGTAAAAGCTAGTTGTTGCTCAGAAGCAATCATTGAGAAATTTGGTGAGTGTAGCAATCCTCAGAAACAAAGCTTAGAGGGGGACAAATATATCCTTTTAAGGAGTCCTGGTATGGCATTGTAGGATAAGCATTGGACTGCAAGGCCGGTTTGAAGCAGAAGGTCAACAGTTCAAACTCACCAGTCACTCCTCGGAAACTCTATACAAGGTCACTATGAGTCAGAAATGACTCGATGGCACTTAACAACAAGAAAATTAAAAGTGGCAAAATGACAGTATCACTTAGACTCCGCCCAGATATTGTTGTTAGTAAAGTGCCGTTGAACTGGTTCCGACTCATAGTGATCCTGGATTGGGTTCCCAGGAGAGGCTGGTGGGCTGGAACTGCCGACCTCGCCATTCAAACCGACCTTGTGGTTGAGTGCTTATCCTACAGCTTCACACCAGGACTCTGAACCCAGATACAGCAACACGAAACGAAAACAGACCTATAAGATTCAAACTAGAAAACCAAAGTCACAGTTGCAACATCAAGTTTTTTAAAAGTAAAAAAGGGCTAATAATGTAGTCACAGAACTTCCAAATGAAGAGGAAATCAAGTCGGTTTCAAGAAAAATAAAATCAGCCTAACGATAAGCCTCAAAATTAGCCCAAGCTTTCCCCTTAACACTATCCCTAGTCCTAACGTAACCATAACCTGACACTGGTAGTCCTATGCCTACCCTTGACCTTGTCATAGTGTCACTGCTAATTCCTTACTCCTACGTCCCTGCCTCCCAACCACAAAAAACAAAAGTCCAACGTACTGTGGTAACAATGGAAGAATGGTCCATGTACCTTCCAGTTTCCTCAGCTGATGAAGGAGAAGAACTCGGGGGTATTCCTGAAAAGGAAGAAGAAAATATATGCAGATCAATATTTGTTGTTATTAAGTGTCACTGAATAGGTTCTGATTCATAGCCACCCTGTATGGGTTTCCAAAGAGCAACTGGTGGGTTTGAACTGCTGGCCTTGCAGTTAACATTCCAGCACTTACCCTATCGTGCCCAGTGCTTACCCCACAGTGTCACACCGGGACTCCTTATGTATTATATATTCACGTAAGAAAGGCAAAACTACAAATAGACTTGAGGCTGTCTTCCCAGGTCCCTGAGCTGACGGTGAATCAAGGGCAGAGCCCAGAACACAGGGTCAGGGACACTTTAGCACACACAAACTGGGTTTTTCATTGTTTTAGTTTATACACAATATGTCACACATGTAGGAACAAGCATTTGGCAGCACAGACTCCCAGGATGGCGCTGTTGGATCAGTGCTGGACTGCAAACCACAAGGTCAGCAGTTCAATCCCACCAGATGCGCCTCAGAAACCCTATACATGGCCACTGTGAGTCGGAACCGACTCCACAGCTCTTAACAACAACAACAAAGTAAGGTCATATCATTTAATAGCCAAGATGACCTCAGGAGAGTAATAGTTTTACAGCACCCTAACAACATCAGCACACCATGCTAATGAAAAGCCTTGTACCAAACTATGACGTATGTGCTCCTTAAATATTCAGGCAATCCTGCTGTGATCTTCATTGCTGTTATCATGACGGAGTCTTGGGGTGGCGCTGTAGGATAAGCACTCGACCTCAAGGTTGGTTTGAACTGCAAGGTCGGCGGTTCAAACTCACCAGCTGCTCCTCGGAAACCCTATACAAGGGTTGCCAGGAGTCAGAACCAACTTGACGGCACTGAACAACAACAACATTTGCAGGTGCCCAAATCTTTTCTCCCAAGGAGCCACTGGGTAGGTTCAAACTGCCAACTTTTTGATTAGCAGCTAAGAGTTTAGTCATTGCACCACCAGGTCACCGTATCAACCAATCATACCAATTCCAACTCCTAGTGCCCCGTAGGACAGAGCAGAACTGCTCCACGGGGTTTCTGAGACGACATCTTTATAGGAGCAGACCGCCTCAGCTTTCTTCCTGGGAGTGTTCGGTGGGTTTGAACTGCCGACCTGGTGGTAACCAGCCCAGCACCTAACCCACTGTGCCACCAGAAGGGGCAGGAAGGGTTCCCGGCAATCTGGCAGGGAGCTGGAATACATCTTCATGACTGTCTTCATGCTTTCAAAACCTGCTTTATTTTGTGCAGTTTGGGGGGCTTCAAAATGGTGACAGAGTCCTCACTTACACAGAACTGATGAAAACAAAGCATCCACATCTTCTCTTCTCTCCTTCAGACATGAATGGCTGCTTCTAACTTAATTTCTTTCTTATTTATCCTACTGCTGTTGTTGTGGAGTGTCTATACAGCAAAACTCACAGCACTTCAGCAGTTTCTACATGTGCACGTAGTGACACCGACGACAATCTTTGAGTCCGGCGACCATTCTCACCTTCCTCTTCTGCTTGCCTCCCGTGCCCCGAACACAAACTCCGATGGAAACTTTCGAGTTGCTGTTGTCAACGGGACTCCTCACAGTGAGTTCTTAAAAGAGCACACGGCTCAAGCAGACATTCTTTACAAATGACACTAAATGACTATTGATTTTAAGAAGCCCTATGAGGATTTTTGTTGTGTTAAGTTTAAAACATTATTTCAGGACAATACATTTGGAGGTTCACCCAACCTTTATGGCTCCAGAAAGTCTGGAGTCTGTGCAAATTTGAAATTCTCTTCTGCATTTTTACCCCTTTGGTAAGAATTCTTCTATAGAATCCTTGATCAAAATGTTCAGTCATGGTACCAGAAACCATCCATTTCCATGCAAAAAAAAGACCCATCCCAACACGAGCTTTATTTATTCCCCCATACTCTGCCTTTATGGAGTCCTGGTGTGGCACTGTGGGTTAATGTGCCAGACTTCAGAGAACCATTTGAACTGCAAGGTCGGTGGTTCAAGCTCACCAGCTGCTCCTCGGAAACCCTATACAGGGTCGCTATGGGTTGGAACTGACTCGGTGGCACTTAACAACAACAACAACAACTCTGCCTTTATGAGTTCCAGGTTCCAGCTGGCATCCCAAAAGTTGGACTTCTTGACATTCATGCCTTCATCTTCCAGAACCACATTCTAACCCTACTTCTCTCATGGAGGGTTACCCACATTTTCATTGGCTCTTGACTTTACCAAAATGGTGTCCTTTTCTAGCGCTGTCTCTTTCCTGATGACATGTCCAAAGGCAGGGAGCCAACGTCGCACCATGCTGACATCTAAGGAGCATCTGGTTTATTTCCTCCAACACAGACATGTTTGTTCGGCTGGCAGTCCATGGTACCCTTAATATTCTCCTCTAACATCATAATTCAAATGCATCGATTCTTCTACGGTCTTCCTCATTCAATGTCCAACATTCACATGCATATAAGGTTACTAAAAATACCATGGCTTGGGCCAGGCGCAACTTATATACAAGCATATTTGTTGTTGTTGTTAAGTGCATATAGTGACACACTAAATGCAGCTTAGCAAACTCTATAGGGCAGTTCTCCTTTGTCATACAGGGGGCGCTGTGTGTGGATGATCTATAAGAGTATATACGAATATGTAGGGACACAATAGTTGACAGCCTAGGAAATCCTGTGGGGCAGTTCTACTCTGTTACACCAGGGAGCACTGTGAGTGGATGATCTATAAGAGTATATACGAGTATATAGTGACACAATAGATGACAGCCTAGGAAATATTGTGGGGCAGTTCCCCTCCGTTACACCAGGGGGCACTGTGAGTGGATGAGCTATGAGTATATATGAGTATATAGTGACACAATAGATGACAGCCTAGGAAACCCTGTGGGGCAGTTCTCCTCTGTTACACCAGGGGGCGCTGTGAGTGGATGATCTATAAGAATATATATGAGTATATAGTGACAATAGATGACAGCCTAGGAAACCCTCTGGGGCAGTTCTCCTCTGTCACACGGGGGCGCTGTGAGTCAGAATCAACTTGATGGTATACAACAGCAACCTTATAAGTGAATCGTAGAAGTGGGGATTTTACAATGCCATGTAACAGTGGTCCCCAGTATTCTTGAAAGGCGCTGTGCACATAGTGCAGCTCTCGGGGAGACCTAAGGACTCACTCGATTAAAGCAGCTCATCATTACAAATGTCAAAGCCACTCTCGATATGAAAAAGCTTCGAGACAAAAGACACGAATGACACTGTGCTACGACCCAAACCATTCTAGAAGACAAGGGAGACTAATTCATCATCCAGGTACCCTCCCAGGTGCACTGCTGAATTTCAAGGAGAGATTTAGCTTGGGCTCCTGTTTTATATTTGCACTGTAACGATGAAAAATGTGTGTGTTTTTAATAAGACCACATTTTAGTACCTTCAGGCAAAGGAGCATAGGGAATGGCTCTCAGAAGCAGAGAATAGCTGGAAGCAGATGAATAATCACAGAAGCCATCAAATGTTTGCACCTTCATTTTTTGGCAGGCTTTGTAGCCAAGCACAACCTGATGGAGAGCTGAATAAACACACAGCCGCTGAAGACACCTGGCTTTGTGGGAGGAATGGAATGGACTATTTTGGCCTATCAGATAAATATTCTAGTACTCAAACTCCTGGCTGATCCCTCACTCACCAAGCAACTTTTCTGTGTGTTCGTGTGGATGAAGGCATGGAGGTGACAACCTGCGTCATGAAGAAGGCCTCACAGAGCAGGATGCAGGTGCTAGGAGAGTCCTTCACCCCTGGTTCCACCGCAGGCACGCATTCCTGGCTGCCCTCTCTTACAGCTGGACACTGTCCTGCTAGGAACCTGCCTGCTTCACAGGGCAGACTGAGGATGTTTTCTCAAGCATCTACCCCTTCTAATCTTCCACAAGGATCCCTGATGGCGCAATGGCTAAGCACTCAGCTAAACCAAAAGACCGGCGGTTCAAACCCACCAGCCACTGTGCCAAAGACCTGTTGATCTGTTTTTATGAAGATTACCAAAAAACCCACTGCTATCAAGTGGATTCGGACTCGTGGCGACCCCATAGGACAGAGTCGAACTGCTCCCTAGGGTTTCCGAGACTGTCAGTCTTATGGGAGCAGACAGCCTCATCTGTCTCCCACACAGCGGCTGGTGGGTTTGAACCACTGACTTAGCAGTTAGCAGCCCAATGCTTAACCTACCATGCCACCAGCTCCTTTCCACAAAGATTACGGCCTAGAAAACCCGACAGGGCCGTTCTACTCTGTTCTCTAGTGATGTTATTTGTTGGATGGGTAAGCTCCCCCAAAGGGGCCTCATACTCACCTTCCAGGAGACAGACCCAAGTTCCATCACCAGCCAGTGCAGCTCATGCATGGCGTCTAGTATACCGCATACTAATAAGAAAGGCTTGGTGATCTGTTTCTGAAAATCAGCCAGTGAAAAACCTACAGATAGATCACAACAGCCAACTGGTAACCGATCATGGGGCTGGCCCCGGGCCGCGAGGTGTTTTGCTCTGTTGTACCCAGAGGCACCTGAATTAGGATCCAGCTCAAACACAGCAAACAACAACACACTTTCACAGCTGACTGAGGGCCTTCTCACTGACGTAGTATCTCTACAGAGACGCAGTATCTTCAAAGAGACTGTCCGTTCTTCATCCAGAACAGGTCAGTGTCTATGTTCCACATCCTACTGAGGAGGGCAGTGAGTGGGGTCTTCAGAGCTCTGGAACAGCCGTCTAAGGTACAAGTCTTGGTCTCTCCACGAGTGGAAGACAGAAGAGTGATGAAAACTGAACACACATGGAAACAGTGAGTCCAAAGACTAATGGGCCACACGAACGTCAGTCTCCACAATTCTGAGACCAGAAGAACTAGACGGTGCCTGGCTCCCACTACCAACTGCTCTGAAACAGAGCACAGTAGAAAGTCCTGGGTAGACTGGGAAAAAAG